GTTCAGGCTGGCCTTGTCCTCAAACTCAACATTGATCCTCCTGCCTCACCCTCCTGAGTGCTGGGATTACAGGCTTGCGCTATCACAACCAGCTAGGCCTTTTTTTTTTTAAAAAAAAAAAGAATAATGAGCTCCTATTTATATAATCAAAAACTATCTTTTCACTGGGAGATGGGAGAGGCAAGATACAGTACTGTGTGTATAAGCATGATCATTCTGTGTAAAAAAGAATAGATACAAACAGGGATATCCGTTGTGGGTTTTTCATACACATTTCCTGTAGGAGTTTATCAGAAACTGTTAACTGCATTTCCTTTCAGTAGAGGGACTGTGCAGGGTGGACTGGGGTGGCAAACGCTCACTTTTTATTTCTTATTTTTTTATTTTTTTGAGACAGGGTCTTGCTATGCAGTTCAGGCTGGCCTTGAGCTCGCTTTGTAGCCCGGTCTCAAACTCGCAATGATCCTCATGCCTCAGCCTCCCGAGTGCTGGAATTACAGGCGTGTGCCAGCATGCCTGGCTCACTTCTCATTTTATATATCCTACCTACTACAAAAAAATCAAGGGTCATCTGGTGTTTGGGGGGCAAGATCGCAGGTTCATTGTTTTCTTCTCTGTAGCTCGTTGTATTAAAAAAAAAAAAATTCAAGTTAGTGTTGTATCTGTTTAACAAACTCAGGGAAGGGCCCCTGATGAGTGAGGGCCAAGGTCAAAGGCTGTGTTGTCTGGGGTGTTCCCAGCTGGGACAGTGTGGTTGTGAGCAGTGCTATGGGAATAACAGCCGCCTGGAGGTTCCTTCTGGAATGTTCTCTGGAGCCTGTGGCTGACAAGACAGGATCGGACGGGGAGGAGAGAGGCCAGGGTGGGCTTCGCACAGTCTGGGGGACAGGGCTTGAGCTGGGCGGGGGTTCGGTTCCCTGTGCAACCCAGGAGGAAGGGCTGAGCCTGGGGAGTCTGCCCCCGGGAGGTGGCTCTCTCCCAAGCCACCTGGGAGGCAGGTGGGGGCGTGGGCGGGACTGGAAGGACTGCAGTTTCTCACCTGAACTCTTGGATGGGTGGCAGCTCAGTCATGTAAATAAAGGTACCGGTGCCCCGCTGTGGAGGGGACAGGTTGAAAGTGCTGGTTTGGAGCTGGCAGGAGGATGGTGAGCCCATGGCATGGATGAGGGCCTGGAGAGAGTCAAGGCCAGGTAGAGGGCAGAATGGAAGCCAGAGGAGGGCAAGCCTTTCCCCTGGCATCAGAGAGGGAAGGCGAAGTGCCTGAGGAACCTTGAGACGCCTGTGTGTCTCCCTGCATCCATCTCTTTCTTATCCTTCAGACCGGAGCTGAAATGTCCCCTCTCCTCATAGGCCTGCCGTCCCATCCAGGTCAGACCGCTTCACTAAGCTCTGTTTATCTGCTACCTCATGGTTTCTTCTCCTCCTCCAGCAAGAGACCCCGCCGCAATGGAGGGGTTGGGTGACGGTCAGGTGCAGGTGGACAGCTACTGGGCCGCCTGTGCTGGGTGGGCAGAGCACTGCTCTTTACCTTTATGGTCCTTAGCAAGGCATTTCCGCTCCCTGAGCCTTGGTTTCTTTGTCTGTGCAACAGGAATGCTAGTAAGATGGGATCCAAACAGGGAGTGTGCCCAGGCGTAGTGGGGGATCCCGCTGGGAGGCTGATTCAGGTGAATCAAGCGTGGAGCCCAGCCCGGGCAACAACCTAGTGACACTCAGTCCCAAACAAAACATAAAAACCGAAAAAAAGGTAGCGTGCTTCTGTAAGATGCTTGGTGCATGCAGTAGGCAGCTACAGTGGGGGTTACTTGGGATGGGTGCAGTAATCAGCCTGGGCGTGGCCCCCTGGACCTGTCCTCCAGCAGCCCGGGAGAGGACCTGTCACGTCCAGGGATAGCAAGGGTCTGCCCAGGCTGCATCTTGTCTCTGGAGTCAGACCTTGGCATGGGCACAGCTGTCACAGATGGGGATTCGGCAGTGAGAATCTGCTTGATTCTGGGCGCACAGAGGGGCGTGGGCCGCGTCGTCTGCCTCAGGCACTGGGAAGCTGATCTGAGTGTGCACCCCACAGAACCCTGACCTGGACTCTGAGGCACTGCTGGCCTTGGCCCTGCCGGAACTGGCGCAGAAGCTACAGAGCGGGAAGCTGTCCCCGGAGGCTGCCCTCTTCACCTATGTGGGAAAGGTGAGTAGCCCTAGGTGGCCCACAGCCCTCACTCCCTCCTCCTCCTCCCGACCATTGTGCAGGCTGTGGGGAAAACCTGGTCTGGAGTTGAGAGCCTCGGTGGCACCACAGTGCCAGGGGCTGCCAGGGAGGGAAGGGGCTGAGCGCTCTGTGCGTGAGTGACGCTGGGCATGAGGCCTTAGCTGGAAACCTGGCTCTTAGCCCAGGCTTTTTCTCCTTCCTGCCTCCACCCTGTTGCTCACTGTGTGTGGTCTGTTCCCATTTTCTGCCTCTCTCCAGCGCCTCCCTTGCCCCATCCCGTCAGCCACGCTGTCCCCTCCCCTCCTGTCCCTCCATGCCTGGCAGCAGCCTCCAGGCCAGGTACCCTCGCAGCTCCCCAGACCTTCCCTTCTTGTAACGCGGATCTCCAGCAGCACCATGGCCAGGGGTGCGCAGGGCATGGGGCTCGGGGCCTGCCCTGTTCTGCACTGGCTTGTGCAGGCTCCTTCCCCGAAGACCCTGCCCTCTGCTTTGCCCCTGGCAGAGCTGTGCTGAGCGTGGCACAGGAGGCCGCCCGACCAGAGAGCTCGGCCGCCCTGCCTGCCTCCGCTGCGCACGCTGTCTCCACAGCACTGTGGGGCCTCTCCCTTTCCACTCTCTCTTGCCCGCTGTGGGCTCTGTGGACAGAGATTTTCTTACTTGTTTCCTCCTTCCCTCCCTCGCTTAGCGCTGAACCTAGGGCCTTCCTGCTGAGCTACATTCCTAGCTATCCCCCTTCCCTCGCTCCTTCCCT